TTCTATAAAATCCCCATTGTCTCAGATGACGTTTCGGCTATGGGTGTCACCACCCACTTTGGCTTTTTGGAGTTCCCGTGTATGTCCTTTGGACGCCACAACGACTCCCAAAACTCCCACAGGTTCGTGTACCGTATACATAATGACTTATTGTCAGTCTTGCACCTTTTCATTACAAGCTCTATTACTCAAGAACACATGGAACATTTCGCGAAGGTGTCCGGCTGACTTCAACAGTTTGACGTTGCCCTTAACCCCCATGCATTTGTATCTCCAGCACTCCCTCCTCCGAGTTTCTCGGACACCCGGTCGGCTTAACTGGTATATAGACCTTCTACTCTCGAAGGCTAACTGGATAACAACTCCAAGTTAACTCCTAATTCACAATTAATCTACGAATCACGAACTTAGGTGGCTGACGCACTGCCCAGACCCACCATCACCCAAGTCCAACTCTCGCCTGAGATCGAACCCTTTGAGATGATTGTAGAACAATACCGTGTTGGTTCTCCTGTGCCGATGACATCTCCGGACCTCAACTCCAGAAATGCTCTCATTCTGTGCGACGTCTCCGTTACCTCTCATTGCCTCTTTGTACTGCGCTCCATTAACCGATAGGTTATCTCCATCCTGCAGAAATTTTGCCACATTGGAAGTCGATCCATCGATAAACTGGTCTCGGAAGACTTCGCATGATTTATTATGGGCAATTAGGTGAAGACTTGGACAGGCGTGTGTTTGGGCTGTCAGTGAAGCAAGGCCTGGTCACAAATCCAACCCCATTTGACAACTTTTCTAATTCCTGTGCTAAGTTCAGCCACGTCTTCCTAGGCATTTTAGTCCGTCGACCTCTGTCCAATTGTTGTTCTTACTTGCATGGACGGATTCACGCGGTGGCCGGAAGTCATTCTCCTGCCAAATACCAAGGCTGCAACGGTGGTCAAGGAGTTTTTTAATCCCCGAGTTGGCATCTTCGGTGCTCTTTTTAACATAACAAATGACCGGGCTGCTCAATTAGAATTTCGCCTCCTCCAGTCTCTTCTCCCTTTTTTAGGGGTTCCTTGCGTCCGGAGAACAGCTTAACAGCCGGCTTTCAACGGGATGGTCAGATGGGCCCACCTCGAGCTACGGGATTCCTTACGTACATTAGAGGATCCGGATACCCGGACTAGCCACCTTCTCATAGCCCTGTCAGATACCCACTGGCATCATAAATTGGGCATTGGCTGTTCCGCCGCTGAACTGGTGTTTGATGCCATTAACTGGTTTCGTAGTGGGATATTTTTCCCAACCCCTCGCAATGCAAACGAACAACAAACGAATCTACACTGTTACCG